ATCCTCTTCACTTCCTCCTCATTCTCCCTCCTCGCTGACCCTGCTCCTAACGCAGCCCACCGTTTCTGATTGCTACCAATGGGAGAAACCGCAATCCCTCCATAAAAAAATTGCAGGCGATACTCCCACCTKTTTATACTCTCCTACCCACACTACTCCAGCCTCGTGGCACTCTATGCCTCTCCTTATTCTAACGAATCCAGACTACCCCTTAGTCCTCAATCGTGCTGAAGGTTATGTAACAAAAATTGAATGTCTGGACTGAGGGTATATTCGCAAGAGTGTTATATTAACAAAATCTGAATGAATGTGGCGGCCATCACGTCTAGAGCTTAGTACAAAAAAAAGACAAAAAAAACAGGGTCGTAGTGCTTTGCTCCCCTGTTTTCAGCCGAGCTCCAACTCACGCCTGTTCTTCAGCAGCTCGACATGTACCAACTGAACTAAGCCTATTGATACCCTTGCCAACCCCAGAACCAGCACCTGGGCTGTGTCCCAACCTGGGACAAAAGGGTATATATGTAAAGAACAAATAGAAAAATAATAAAATAGACAATAAAATAAAACAGCCAAACGGGGAGCGGTTTTATGTGACCAGCGGTACACAGCCTCTGCGCTGGTGCCTGCTGGTCCTCACCCTGCCAGTTACAGTTCACTGTCTCACGGTTCCCTGCAGGTAGGCTCACATTCATACCTCTCATTGCTCGCCGCAGGCTGAGCTTAGTGGGCAGTGCATCGTCTGGCCACAACTGCCCAAGCCTGTTCCACCACGTCGCGGATCCAAGAGGTAAAAGCAGATGTTCACATGGGAACTGCCAAAGGCCGACGTGGGGAGTGGTCCTATGTGACCGGCCGCTGCGGCCTGCGGCCCCCCCTCCGCCCCGGCATAGTTCACCGTCTTTCTGGTCCCCACGCCATGCTCGTACTGCGACCCCGAACCTGCAAAATATGCAGATTTTGAGGTCGGTTAAATTGAGGTCTTTCACATGGTTTGGATCATACGCTGCACCTTTTCCAGTGGGACGCTACCTTGGCCGTCCGCAGCAAAACAAAACAACCTGGTCCTTTGCTGCCCACACAGCACCTCCCTCACAAGGTTCTAAAATATACATATATATATATATATTATATATATATATATATATATATATATATATATATATATATATATATATATATATTTTATTGATGTCCCGAGGGTCCATAGAAAAAACCACAATGATGCTGCAGAAAACCAGCTCCACGGTGGGATCGGTATTTCAGCAGTTCAATGGAGTACCCACCGAGCTGGGCTCTTGAGCTCCAGCCGGCCCCATAGACCAGTGCCGGCCCCCGTCCCGAATGGGAAACATAAAAAAAAAATTAGTAAAATTCTAGAAATAGAAGTTAAAAACACGGATAGGGGAGGAGAACCGTTAGTACTTAGTCTTCAGTCCTACCTCCGGGCCCGCGGCCGGGTCCCCTCAGCAAAACTAAGGGGGATAATCCCATGGGACTCTCAACCCCTCAGTTCACTCCCAAGTACGCTCCTTCGCTGCCCCAATGCTGGCTGCTGGCCCCGATCCCGGGATCCGCCTAGTGAAAACTCAGTGATGTAACCTATAGGGCTAAGCCCAAGCCCGAATTGGGTGCGGGCTACCCTGTATATGAATTGCATGGTCAACCAGCCTGGGCCTGCAGGTGGTGCCCCAGGCCGTTTCTTGGCTTGCCCTTCAACCCCGTGACCCTGCACACGTGCCGTGCTGGCCTATCCCCTCCACCCTGGCCTTGTGGGGTCGTGCTCTGCTATCTCGAAGGTAGGTGTCGCCCAGCTCATAACGTACGTTGCCTCTACGTGCCGTGATTGCGGCATGTGGCCTTCATAGCCTGCCGCAGCCGACTTTCTATCGCCGCCTTTCGGAAAAACCATGACACTTGTCTCCACTAGACTCCGTTCGCATTGCCTTCCCTCTCACTCCTCTGATGGCTCCGACCTCTGGCTAGTATTCAGCTGAGCTCTAGTGTTCACACCCTCCTTACTGTGTAGTCTCAAAGGCGCCGTTTTTCAGCGAGTCAACGAAACCTCACCACAGTAAACCTACTCCATGCCGACCGTGACTTCGTTGGTGACCGCAGGACTGTGGTCCACGCGGCTTGGTCAAAAAATTCTCACGGCTGCCGACGGCTAGCTACTTATGCACGCCCACAAAGTGCATGCTCACACACTTTCTAATCAAGCTATGCCTGCGTCTGCCGCGCCCGACTTCCAAGAGTCAGTTGCGGCTGGCCGACCTATATGCCATCTTCTCAAGTATCATCTTGATCGCACCTTTTGTGAGGTGCACGAAGCACGCATAATTACCCTTGTAAGGGTAATGGTGCCGACAGTTTTTCGGACCCTATTAAGCGACGTCCCCGTCGCGCCGGTCAGATCAAAGGTTATAAAAAGTTCTAATCACATCTTGCTGACAAGGAAGTAAACCAATCCGGTTAGCCGGCTTGACTCTGTTTGAGGTATTCTATCAGTCCACCCCCGTCACGGTGTTCCACTGTCAGGGTTTCAACCTGGGTCTCCCACGTCCTGGCCTCAGACTCTGGGGATACTGTGTTCCGTACTACAGCGTAATGCCCGCTCCCAGGTAGTAGCTTGATAGTCCTCTCCCTTTGCCTTAGACATCTGCCGGCTCACCGTTGGGTGTCCTATTTAGTCATCGTCCTGCAAGCAGGGTCATAACTTAGGACGCGGGCCCTAACCGAGACCTCTCTCAAATACGGGCCACCTTCAGTCCCCAAATTGGTAAGTACTACTAGTTCAAATATCCACTCATAAGGAACGCCCAACCTGGAGTCTAACACAGGCGGCTTCTAGGTCTCCATCCTGGCCCACCGCAGAACGGTTGATCAAACCGAGTCCACGGCCTACCGCGTTGTTGTATTAGCGGTAGTGCCCTCGTTGGTTGCGCAACGATGAGCATATCTCTCTTACCTTGGCAACCCGAAGGATCCCGACTCTTAACCTCATCGAACCCAATGAACTTCCCTCTAGTTAAACCTCTCCAGGCGGCCGACCTATCAGGACTTAACCTTCGGTGAGCCATGGTCCCGCTGCCAGGTTGCGCTGGCCAGTGGCCCTCGCTGGGAGTTAGGTTTTACAGTTCCAGCGATGCTAAGTATAGCCCCTTAGCCTAGCCTCACATAATATGTCCCTTAAACTGACTTTTTGTGGTCTGGCCTTCTCTTTTCACACAAAATGCACAAAGGATCATATATCAACCGCCCACGAAACGACGTGGAGGGATAGTGTTTTTCTCACAAATCCACAAATAATTCCACAAGGTCGTGCCTTCCTTGCTTTGATCAGGGCAGGCAAGGTCACATGTCTTATAGGGACACCTTTCCAAAAATTTCGCCATAATTGCCAGAATTTCATTCATTATTCTCACAAAACTTCTGGTTTTTCCTTGTCAGACTTTTGCTTGCACACAAGATTTTTCATCATCATCATCATAGCATCTCATCAGAGAGCTCTTTCATAATTCCAATTATGTACAGGAAGAACTCTACCGGCCATTGAGTTCCTTTCACATTTTCAATCACACATAATAACACAACTCTTAGTTGTGATCTTCCATTCAACAACACTGTTTTATTTCGACTCTCCGTTTCCTCACATATGATGTGTATTCTCCTTCAATTGTGCTTAGTACCTCACCTGTAACAATGACAGGTAGTCCTAAGTTCAGAGAAAGGATCGTGCAGATCAAGCCATCATAACAACATCTCACAAAAGTCACGCATACATGAGCAAGTCCACAATTGATGTGAGCGTAGTATACCACACAAATCTCTATTAAGTCTGAGTCTTATATATACACAAGGAACATGGGGTTTGTAAAATAGGCAAGACCCCTGTCACACTCAAAGAAGAATCAAAGTATAATACAAAGAAATCAAAAATGTTCTAAACAGGTCAAAGTCCCGAATGTCCACGTATCGACACACTCTGCACACCACTCACACTGCTCAAACAAGTCTCACACATCCTACTCTGAAAGAAAAAGAAAGAAAATGTAACTCACACAAACACGTAATGTACATAGTCTCAAAGAAAGAACAAAAACGATAGTCGAACTCACACTCAAGGTTATCTAATGTACAATCTGTCCTGAAGGTCTATAGTATTGACGGTAMCATCKYAATAATGRCCCTCACTACTGATATACATGGGTGTGATCCAATCCTCCATGTGTCCTCCTATATACAATCACCTACCAGTAGAGAGTCAGAGATATTTTACTCATGCCAAGGTTTAGACCTTTCCGGACCCTAATGTCAAATCCAAGTCAATCAGCACCTCACCTATCTGTCTGTACAACTGCATCCTACCACCATCACGAGACCTCTCAACCAAAATACCATTCCTATCCCTCCAAATCCCAGTGGATACTCTGGTAACAAACCCTCTCGCCTCATCCTCATAGAACTTAGGGCAATCATCAGAGAAGTATTTGCCCTTCTTGCAGTAGAAACACTTCCCAGGCTTCTTCTGTGTCGTCTTCTCTTCTTCCTGCGAGAGTACTGAGGATGAAACTGCTGTAACTTCGCTCGTAACCTCCTGTTGGGGAGTCTCAGATGGAGTGGGGCAGGCTGCTCTCTCCTCTGTCTGTCTCACTGGCCCACTCGCTCGAACTGTTGAACCAGACCCTGTGGCCCATGAGCCCAACGCCTCCTCCAAGCCTACTGCCAAGGGCATATCCTGAGGCGTGGTAGACTCCTGACAAGTCTCTTGGCCTACTCTCTGCTCAGCCTCAACCTCGCTCCCCTGGACCATCTGCCCTTCAGCAACCATCTAATTGACAGGCAGTGCCCCCTCATCTCTCTCCATCTCTACATGCTGTGTCACATCCTGTCCCTCGCGAGCCTGCTGGAGTGCCAAGGTGGAAGGCATCTGCCATTCAGACTCCTCACTCTTGGCTTTCTCTTCCACGTGCACCTCCTGAGGCTGTAACATCTCTTTGTCTAACAGTGGCACATCTTCTCCTTCTTGTAGACCAGCCTTTTCTTCCTCCTTCTGACTTTAGAAGGCTTCCTCTGCAGGTGGCTTCTTCATTTCAAATCCTTGGACCTCAGTCCAATCCACCAAAGTTGTGGGAGCCCTCTGCTCGAGCTTCGCTTCCAGCTCCTTAATTCTTTTCTCCCACTTTACCTCCTTTGTCTGGAAGGAAGCCTGTTGAGCCTGCAGGTAGGCCCTCAGAGCCTCGTTGACCTTGTCGAGGGTCTGGTTCACCTGCCTAATTGCCTCATTGCCAGCCCAAGCCTTTTCCAGTTCCACCTTCATTGTGTGCAACTCGCGATCCTGTCTCTCCTGGTTCTCTTTCAGATCCCTAGTCTCTTGCTCCCATTCCACCCTCTGACCATATGCCTTCTGAGCCACGTTGGTCAACCTCTCTCCAATCTTCTGATCTGATGCTCGTGCGGCTGCAAATCCTTCCTTCATTACTCCCTTCAACGTGAGCAAGTCTGCGAAGACCAACTTCACCCCCATCTCTTGCTAAGGTCCCTCTGGTCCTCTCGCAGCTCCCATCAACCTATCAAAGTTTTCCCATGCTTCAGAGAGTAGAGGAGGGTCTTCTTCCTGCTGGCTGCTTACACTCTTTCCCTTTTTGTCCTTAAAGTCCACCGGCCGCTGTCCTTGCTCCACTCTCCTCTGGAGTTCCTCTAGGTTCTTCCTCCTGACTTCTGCTCTGATCTCCCGTTCTCTGGCGGCCCTTTCTTGTTTGTCCAGATCCTTTTCTCTCTCAGCCTGGTCCTCATCCATCCTCTGTTCTGTCAGCTCACGGGGTGCTTCCTGTCTTACTTCTGCCATAGACTGATCCTCTTGCCTCTGAATAGACTGAGGAGGAGCCTCAGGCACCTCTGACTCTCTCCTCCTCTGACTCCTCTCAGCTGGCAGCTCCCCACTTTTCTCCATTCTGCGGGTGGCATGCTCCCTTCTCCTCTCACCCTCCTAAGATCTGGACGAGGCACCTCTCTCGAAGGTCCTTCTACCCTCAGCCTCTGGTTCCTTCCTTTTCCTTTTCAGACCCCTCCTTTCCTCTACCTGGCGCGCTGGAGTGTAGTAACCCCTCAACAATCGCCTGCAATCCCCCCAGTGTACAACCCTCTCTACAACGCTCTTTACAAACTGTCTGATGGACCTCCTTACGAACTGGATGAATCTTGTCATCCTTCCCTCTGGTGCGATGTTTCGCTCATCTGCAAAACGCTCGTATGCCCACAGGAACTCATCCACGTTCGTCCCATCAAATCGGATCGGTACTCCATCTCTCCCCACGGGTGATGGGTGTAGTCCCTCCATTCTCCTCTCGAACTCCGTCCAGGTCGCTGACTCCTGCACGTACTTGGCAATGGGCTCAACCCATTCGCCCTCTACACGTACCTCTCACAACATCCTCGCTCCATCCCATCCAAACTCCCTCGCGTGCCATTGGAACTCGATCAGAAATAGTTCGATGTTTCCTCCTGTGAAGATGGGTGGCCTGTCTTCTCTTCTTGCCCATGTCTGCACTCTCTCTCTGGCTGTCCCCTGAGGAGGTTCCACTGACCCTGCCCCTCCCTTCCCTCTTGGCATGGCTGCGCCAAAGTGGTGTCAAGCCTGCACAACAAGGAAGGGACAAGCAAAAACATTCAGAGAGTAAGCAGGTTTTGGCAACACAGTGAGAGACATACACATCCCATCTCACCTAACCTATCCATCTGTATATGCATACATACACATAAACACCTATTTCAATTCTATAGTCTGTCAGACCATCCTAGCGACTATCTAAACAACCTAACTAATATCTCTATTAAGCGCAAAATACTTAGCAGGAAAGGACTTCTAGCCTGTGAGATTTGGGCTCACCTCATCTCGAGCAACAAACTTCTTCAGCCTCGAGCCTGACACCCAATCTCTCCAGGCTATTCCATCCATTTCCTCAATTTGGTACGCGCCATGCTCTCCAACTCTTGCCACCTTGTACGGTCTCAACCACCACTTATCCAACTTTCGTGACCATTGTTTCTCCAGGGATGAGTCGTACAACAGCACCGTGTCACCCACTTTGAGTGGCTCCTTCCTCACTCTTGTCATCTTGTCCCACCTGAACTTATCCTATGTCCGGTTATATGCCACCTTACTTGCTGCTCCTTCAATCCTGTCCTCTATGGCTCCGATCTGACGCGCTCTTAAATCGAGCAGTTCCTCGAACGTCAACTCTGACTCGAGGTCCTGCCGCCTTTATGTCTTCAGGAAGCTCTTGATAGGGAACGTTGCATGCCTGCCATACCATAGCGTGGTTGGCGCATAATCGGTGCTCCTCCTCACGGTGATGTTGTCTACAAAAAATGCCACTCTCAAAAAATCTGACCACTGATTTGGCCTCCCACTAGTCCATTTTGCCAGAAGGTTCGAGATGGTGCTTTGTCCTCTCCCCACTGGTGCATTTGCTTGAGGGTGTGTTGCAGTAGTATACTCAGCAATCACCCCGTACCTCTTCAAGAGTGTTTTTACCTCTGCACTGGTGAATTCAGACCCCCTGTCCATGACAAATATGGAGACAGAGGGGTATCGGAGGTAATATTCCTCGATGCATCGCGCTAGTGTCTCGCCAGTCTTGGTGCGAATAGCCCTTCCGTCCACAAACCCGGAGAGGTTATCGCTTGCATAAAAGATGAAGTTAAATCCCCCTATCCCCAACGGCATTACTAGCAGGTCCAGATGTACGACGACTCCAACCTCACGAACGTATCTTGGGTGAAGCGGCTCCCTTGGCCTAAGGGAAGATCGCTCCTGACATGGAACGCAAGATTTGCAATAATCATTGATCATTTTCCCCATGCCATCCCAATAGTACAATTCATGTATCTTGAGATACGTTGTGTCAGTACTCCTGTGCCCTCCAGCTGTGCCGTCGTGCAGGGCGGCGATGACATCGATCTGACGAGTTATGCCACAAACTACCCTCCTGGGATTCCTCCCCTTGCTCTTCATGAACAGGTGTTCATCCCTTACCAGAAAGTTCGGTCTCATCTTCAAGACTTTCTCGCTGGCATCTCTTTCTCTTATTTCACACGAAAGAAACATTCCGAGTTCAAGATAAACCCCATCATACTCTTCTGCTCGAAAAGCCTCCTTAATCTCGCCTTCTTTGAAATCATCGTCCTCCCTCTCATAGATCACATTCTCACCCCTTTCCTGATCCTGCCCAGCGTTTCTGGCCACTTCCTCCTGCAACAAGGCATTGGCCAGGAGGTAAACCCCTCCTACAGACCTTTCATGATCCTCCACTTGCCGGGCTCCATCCTCCATCGTGATCAGGTCCTCACCCAACTGGTGTTTGTCTGCCAAGGCCAGATCCATCATCCACTGCACATCCGGCATTCCCCATGAGTCCTCCTCCACATAAGGTTTAAGGACTAAGTTTGGCAAACATGCATACCCTGGAGGTGTCAGCCACACCGGTCGTCCAGGAGTAATGTAGTTACCTACCGCCGAAGACCAAGAGTTGATGTGAAGTCTCACATCCTCCTCATTCTAAAAAAAACCGTCGACTGGGGGAGTATCCTCGATCACTCCTTCGCTGTTCTTGCCCCAGTCGACTCGACTCAACCCATCCGCCCTATTTTTGTTCCCTGGAATCCGCTCCAGCTCAAAATCAAACATCCAGATGTACGTCAGCCATCTGGCAATGGTTGGATCTGAGGGAGCGTAGTTCTTCAGCGAACCAGTTATAGCGGTTAGATCCACCCTCAACACGAACCTATTGCCAAAGGGGTAGTTTCTGAAAATTCTCAAGCAGTGGAGGACTGTCAAGGTTTCGCGCTTGAACTGAGAGTAGTTTCTCTCAGCCATATTAAGCGTTCGACTCTCGAATCTTAGCGGTCGCTCCTCTCCATTGAGGTCTTTTTGGATCAAAACTCCTCCCAAAGCGGTCGGTCCTGCATCTGTCTCTATGATAAAGGGCCTGGTCATAACAGTCGCATGGTCTGATACTCCCAATACCATTCCTCCTTCTTCAAACTCCTTCTTTAGATCCTTTATCACAGACTCCTGTCTATCTCCCCACTCCCAATCTTGTCCTTGGCGCACGAACTTTCGCAGGTGCTCCGTCTTCATCGCAAACCTTTTCATAAATATTCTTCAAAATCCACACGTTCCGAGGAAGCTTCTCACCTCAGTAATCGTCTCGAATAGGGTTGGCCATTTGAGAATCTTATTGGTCTTCTTAGTATCTGGCCAACGACCCTTCTCGTCGCACACAAATCCTAAGATAGTCGCTCCTCGCATACAGCGCTTGGATTTCGGCCCACTTGCAGTGAGGTTATGCTCTTGTAGCAAGTCCAGGACTTGACACAAGTCCTGTACATGATCCCAAACAAACCGCCTGATTCCCGGCATTACCTCCTGCTCATCCTTTACCTTCGACCCTTTCACGGCCAAATCATCGATATAGGGCTGCGTGATATGAGGGCTTACTGGCTGCATCGCTCTCACCATATGCCTCTGGACCATAACAACCGCATTTGTCCACCCCTGCGGTGCGACATTCATGTGGATCAGTCCTCGTGGGGTATGCATCGCCGTCATCGTCCTGTCAGATGGGTAGACAGAAAACTAGTCATAACCAGAATACAAGTCTATCAGAGAAATTATAGCCCTCCCAGCGCATGCCTCTGAAAGTGCATCTGCGTTAGGGACGCCACCTGCATCTCTAACAGTCACAGCATTCAGGCGCTGTAAATCCTGTACCCACCTCAACGTCCCATTTGGTTTGATAAAACAAAACCATTGGGATGCATATGGTCCGCTTGAGTAGTCTGCCACATGTGTCCGGATCTTCCCATCTAGGTAGTCAACTACCTTCTCTTCGTCAGCAGGATTAGAATAGTGTGCGCCCCGCAAATTCCACGGCACAGTATGTATCCTAATCATGAGAATTTTATCCACATCCAGGCGTCCTCTCTCATCATCATTGAAGGCATATGCAGTATGCCTTCCTCTTATGGTTTCGACCATAAGTTTCTCTTCCTGCGCTGTAAGGAAGCCAGACTCCCCTATAATCAACGCCTTCTCAGTCTCCGGATTGATACGACATGGCATGTTCGCAGCATCCTCTCGCATTTGCCGTATCAATCCTCTCTCTCGCTCGTAGTAGAGCTCTTTTTCTTCAGCTACGAGCACCGGAACAGGGCGGCACTTTTGATCTACTCTTTTGTACCGCCTTTGTGAACCCTGCTTGAGCCCACCTCTAAAAAATACCGAGTTGCAATTTGAGGTAGGGCTCCCACCATTCCGCCGGTCCCTCCTGGTACCCGGTATACCAGTTCCATCTCTCCAGCTCCCATTTGTTCTACCACTTTCTCCCTCAAGGCCTCCACGACCACAGGTCTGCCATCCCATAGGTCGACACTATATCCATAGCGTCACCTATGCTCGCCAAGCTAAGAGTTATTGCTTTTGGCCGTCTTTCTTCTTCATTGTCGACTCCCCTTAGCCTTTTCCTCTCTTCTTCTGACTCCTCAATTGTGAAAGAGCCAGGGCTGGGTCGATTCTTAATACTTCTTGGTCCTGTGTTCTGGCACGTAACAACCTCATAGTTGCCGCACACGGGATCACACATGACCAGGAACATAGTCTCGTCATGCTTATTCAGGATGACGGTCTCTGTTCTGCTAAAAAATGATCGCCCCAGAAGAATAGGGTGATCGAGGTCGGGCATTACGAAGTAGTAATTCCTCACTTTTACCTTCCCGATCTCCAGCACCACCTTGGATGCGGTCCCCACAAAAATGGACCGACTATTTGCTCCTACCAAAATACCATTGTCGGAGCGGTCTATCTCCATCCTCAGGCGCAGGGCATCCTCCTCCTTGATGAGGTTCATTTCTGCGCCTGTGTCCACCATTGCCGTGCATGCTTTCCTCTTTACAACAACATCAAAACACCCGCACGCCACGGACTTCCAGTTCATTTTCGTACCGGTCTCCGACCACTCAGCTTCCTTAGGGATTATGGCCCCTAACCGTACGCTAGCCACCATCTTCCTGCACAAACGTGCCTTGAGCTCTTCTCGCAGTCTCGGCACTGATGCCAAGACATCTTTCAAGTTCATGAGGTGGTTATGTCCTTCAAGGATTCGGTCCATAATCTCTTCCACGTCGAATCCTTTCTCCACCCTAACTGTATACTTCTTTCTTTTCTGCTCTGGGACTTTTTTCGTATCGGCCTTAACGCCTCTCTTCTTGGCTCTTTGCTCCGCCTTTTCACCCTCCTCGTTCCTTAGGCGGTCATCCTCCTCCTCCTCTTTCACGGGAGGTTCTACAACTTCCTTTTCCCCGCTCGATCCAGGAATCCTTAGCCGACGGTTCCGGACTCGCTGGCCCTCGAGCTTTCGTCCTGACCGCCTGAGCGGCCCTCCCAGATCGTGAAGGCAGCCTAAAACTCATCCCTGATCTGGGAGCCCCCCCTATGACCGATACATTCGGAATGCTCGCAGGCGCCCCCTGCGATTTTGGCCCTGACCCATACATGAAGACTTGTGGCCTCTGCCCTTGCCACTCCTTAACCTCTTCGCATAAATCTACCAGCTTTCTCTAGTACCTTCGAATTTTGTCCATTAAGTCTTTCATATTCTCCATCGTCTGTCGGGCCGTTCTCCAATAGTCTTCCCCTGTCTCAACGTGCAACGGCCTGTTCCTGTAATCCTCTTCAATCTCATCGTTCGACTCTACTATGATGGGCTCAGCCTTAGTAGTGTCGGTTTTCAGCTCTTGCTCCACCTCTTCGTTCTCTCCCACCTCTTCAACCCTGATGTCACTACGGACACCCTTTCTCCTGCCATATCCGAAACATGGCTGGAGGAGAGGGTGGTTCACCTGCCTCGGCTCGTCGTAGGGCCTCCTTCCTTGTCCCGCCTGGGGTCCTTGGATCAAGGTGGTACCCCCACTTGTCGTACATATCCCTATCATAGTTGGTGCTGATTAGGCCTTCGTCTTCATCATTTCTCCGGACATGGCAGAACTTGATAGTGTGACCTTTCTGCCCGCAGTGCCAACAAATGGCGTTCCTCCAATCTATTCTCCCCCTGCCAGCACCTCTTCCACCTTTTTGGCCACCTTGACTCCCGGATGCTGTCCATCCCTCGCTTCCCCCACCACCATTCCCTCTGTCGTTTCCTCCCCGACCACCATTCCCTCGTCCTCGGCCTCACCCTTGATTTTGTCCTCGTCCACCGCCTTGATTGCCTTGCGACCCTTGTGGGGCGGACTGCTGGGGTTGGGTAGGCGGTGGGGCTGGATGGCTTACTTGTTGGGCTTGGGGTCCTGGGCAGCCACAGGAAGCCGCGCTCATTGACGGTCCGACACATGATCCATGTGGCCCACTCATGGGCCACAGGGCGTATGAACAGTGTCCATGCCAATGACTCGAAGGCCCACAACCTGGCCATGGCCCATAGGGTGCTGATACAGCTTGATAGGACGACTCAGGAGGGGGCATTGCCACAGCCTGCGGGACTTGACCCCTCCCCGAGCCTTGGCCCCCTTGAGCCAAGTTCCTTGCTTTCCTCTGAGCCTTAGTCAGCTTTTGAGGCTCGGGCTCCTCTTCCTCTTCCTCTTCTTCCTTTTCCTGCACTACTGCCTTTTTCGCTTTCCCTACGATCTGTGGCGCTGCCATGGTTTTCCTTTTTGCCTCCTTCTTTGCGTCGAGCTGGGCGACCGCGTCCTCTATCATTTTCTTGAAATCACGTCCATCACTCGTGGTGGCATCCAAAGCCTTCCTCTTCTTCCTAGCCTGCCTCATCTGGAAGATGACTACCTGGTCCAGTTCTCCGTCCATTACACCTTCCTTTATGGCAGCCCAAGTGAGTTTCTTTCCTGGAGCAGCCTTCTTAGTTAGCGACGAGCCCTCCCAGTTCTTGAAGTGCCCTAGGAAAGTGGCACACTGCTCCTCTTCTGCCAACCCTTGGACTTTCTTTGCCATTTTCTCAAACGTCGTGGCGAAGGCCCCCACTGTAGAGAACTCGCCCCGTCTCAACATTTCCAGGTCTTCTTTGGTGAGCAGGCCGTCACCTAACTTGAAACGTCTCTGCATTTCCTCTTTAAACTTTGTCCACTCACCATTTGCCCCGGCCGCTACCTTCATTACCTCAGGTCTAAGCTCCCACCATACATACCTAGGCATCAGCTTGAATTTGTTTGCTTCTGACGCCTCACTAGTGACCTGCTTCAGCAACTCAAGCCACTCGGACACTCTATCCCCGTGTTAACCTTGGGCACCTGAAGTCGTGCCATCTCTCTTTTTTCCAATGCCTTGACGAAGTCCTCAGGTGTAGCACCCGGGCCCCTCTCGATTCCGTCGGCGTCCGCCATCTTTATGTTTTCTCAAACACCTGTTGAGGGACGAAAGGTTTTAACAAAACAATCGGTCATCAAGTCTCTAACTTGCCTACTTTCACAATTCAACTACTATCTTTACTAACTAAAGTAACCTATCAGGTCTATATTATTACTCTGACCCTATCGCTGAAACGGATACACATAATGCACACTTCCGACCTTACTCACAATCAAGGCAGACAGATCTGACATGTCATTGAGAAAGCCACCATACTCGAATCATCGTCAAGGAGAAAAATCTTTCCATCAAAGGTTGTCGTTTTGCCTGGATCATCAGCCTGCTCTTAACCTGGGTTTGTTCACTGTGGACCCCGGTAGGCAGCCGAGATCCCCGGCAACGGCGCCACCTGTCGAGCGCATCGATCCCGCACGGGGACCCTCCCGGTCGCGTCTCGCAGGATTATGCAGGACTTATTGCGGAGAGCGTTTGCCGCTCCGGCCGAGTGCGCCAGCCGTACCTCTCGCGAGTCCCTACGACAGGACAGAGTCATGCAAGGCACCGCTACCTCCACCTGCGGGGGTTGACACCATCCCTTAGGTGGGCGTATCCCTGCCGAGCTACTGAACCACATGCGAAGGCTTTTATAATGCAATTGCAGAGGTGGCCCAGCCGAGGGCTTTTCTCGTTCGCTGTAGCATAAGGTACGCGCGGTCAACGCCCGAAATCGGACTCGTACGCAAGTCGACGACACTGGGGGGGCTGAGGTCCCAAGCTCGACTTGACGTCCGTCAACTAGGACGCTCTACGCACACCACGCGATACACCACTTAAAGCAAAATTTAAGTAACTCACGTTCACACACTCATGCACCAAAGCAAAAGAAAAACACAACACTCCCAGTCCCTTTAGTACTGGACCCATAACCTTTTGGTACAAAGATTAGGTAGGCGTCGCATGCTGATTTAGTATAAAGAATCGCGCGATCGCACGGATTTCTTATACCAGCGCGTCATGCGTGCGTTTACAAGTGTTTGCAATAATGGGGTACTATGTGGTACCCAGGTCCAGGAGGCCCTCAGGGATTTTGAGGGTCCCTTTCGACACTCAAGTGTCGGCTGACAAGCGCTTCAAGGGTTAATCTTTCTGCGCTAGACAACCGCCATGCGCGGTTGAAGACCACACACCCTCTTCTGCACCCTGTGCAGAGTGGGTGGTACACATGTTTCACGCCTGTGGTGGCAAAAGTCAAGGGGTTTGACTTTGAAGACTGCCACGGACTACAACGTCCAACCATAAGAAAAGAGAAAGAGGACAAGGCTCGATATAAAGGCGTCGACATAGTCTAACCCATATTGAGCCCCTATGTCTCCCCGATAGCTTTCTCGATGCGATGTGGTGAGTTGCTACGGAGTTGCGTGTTCCTAAGGCTTGACTCATGCCCTTGAGCGAGCCGACGCTCAATGCGTCGTATGCTCGGGCACGATGCCCTTCCGTGCATTTCCGCAACGCCGACCGTATCGCGATTCTATGTTCAGTGCCAGACCCATAAACTGTTCGGTGTGAGAATTCGTTTGGCGCCGTGTGCCGGATTCGATATAATCCGTGCGGGTCCTCGGCCTTCCCATACCGACCAGCAATGTTGTCTCACTTAAGCGATCGCTGAAATATCCTTGTGATACTGAATGGCTGAAGGAATATATCGTGGGGGTTCACCCCTCGCAATATTGAACGGCTTGAAGGACACGCCGTTCAGCCCCTGCGGCACCCCTAGCCTTGAAGCTAGGCGGTCCGGTGGGCAGGGTTTTTATGCCCTGTGCGCAGGCAAAAATCCCTTGCTAGAGGGTTGGACTTTGGGTTCTTCCCGACAAGGACCTCGAACCCCTGGCCCAGGAATACGTCCGTCTTTTCAACTTAACAAGTAAGCGGGGCGAACGCGAAAATTGGGAGAAAGGTTATGCCTTTTCCCTATTTCGCTTTGGCCCATGACTCACCGCGCACCACCTATACGAATCGTTTATGGGGTGGCGTGTGGATAGTGTTCAGGTCAAGCCCTTTAGGTAGCCCAACGCTCGGAACATTTCCTCGCTCGAGCACGGGGTTCCCATAGGGCGGACCGACCTTATGACCTTTTTTACGCGTCGTTTTCGTGATATTTTGGCTCACGCCTGGACCCTTATCGTCCCACCAACCGAAATCACGCAAAAATATAGAAGGCATAAGTATGTGCTCGTGCAGCCGTGTGAGGGCTACGCGAGAGACATACTCAAATGCCATAACACTTAGTCAGACGAAGAGTTAAGTGATGATACAGTCTCACAATAGTTATGTGGCTTGCCCACCTGAACTCAATACAGCCAGAATACCACAATCATTCAACATGTTTCACACATACCTGTGAATACACACAAGGATCAAACAACAGAACACACACTAAAAGGATCAACTTTTCAGCCTTCTGCAACTCACACCTGCGTTATGCACACAAACCCAACCTTTTCCCCACCATTTCAAACAAAGATACTCAGTCTTTTAAGAAAATGATCATTTACAAAGAATCTGGGAGAAAACCCAAGAAAACATAAAACCAGCCAGGGCCAAGGCCTTAGGTTGAGAGGCAGAAAAGGATGAGAGGTTGAGTCGTGCACCGACGAATCTGCAACCGACCTGTTTTAAGTGATAACAGAAGAATAGTCAGGCTGACCAAGTCAGACCTTCAATCAATATGCACAGTCTGCACCACAGCACAGGTCAAAGAGATTCCACTACAGTATTTAGCCTAAGAAGGGGGAGTAATCCTCCTAAGTCACATCCTAAATCCTCTACTAAGCTCCTACTCAGCTTCTGAGAGGTTCAATAACACCTCCCCTACTCAGGGTTGAGTTGCTAAGATTGGTCTAACTGAAAATATTCTAACTCTTCAAATTTCTCAAAATTTCGGCAGCGCTTTCCGTAGGAAAAATGTCTTTTCAGAATTTCTGGGAACCTGAATATGACTAACTCTTTTCAGTTCTGCAGAAATTTCGGCAGCGCTTCCCGTAAGAAAAGTAGGCTGCCAAGATTTATACAAAGTTGAAAGTCAAAGTGCAAAGCAAAATTATACTTGGGGCTAACTCCTGATCCCTGCTTGACAACTTAGGCTCAATATTGGTCCACATGCCCTCTGAATGAGGCCATGAGCCAACGCTGATACCAACCCCCAACAGAGTCAGTCCTATCTCATCCCAAGCTTCCCTTCCATTATTCATCTTACCTACCTATGGCTCCAGCACTCGGCGAGCATCTACAATAACTACTCTATCAAAAGAGGTCTCAAGTGAGAGCCCACGAGCATGCAAGCGCAAATATCTCTCACAATACCACATGGTTCTTTTCCAGGCCACATAGTTCGTTCAAAAACCCTCATTATTCCTTTTTTACCCTTCCTTATATAAGACATAGGGTCAGCCAACCCAACTTATGGATGTGACTGACCTGCCAGTTTATATGACTAGGCCACACCAACTTATGGTGCCCTAGTATGGTAACACAAATATACGTACGCATAAGACCAAACCACACCAACTCATGGTGTAACCAATTTCTGCAAAACAACCGACATAAGGCGTTTGATCGGGCCGCACCAACTCATGGTGAGGCTGGTCAGCCTGAACATTCGGCATACACATAGAACTGAACCTCCCAACTTATGGAGGTCAGCCTTTGCCTAACCAACGACAAAAGGCATATGACTGGACACAACAACTTATGTTGTGCCCGATCAGCCCAAACAGTTACACACGGCGTACAGCCAGGCTACCCAACTTATGGATAGTCCAACCCAGCCTAGACAAAGCCACTTGCGCGAATGACTGAACAACCCGCAACTTATGCGTTCGCCCAGCCCTTCGCAATACAACCATGTTCAACTTTATGGACATAAGGCCTATAACTTACCACAACAACTTATGTTGTTATAAGCCTCTGTCTGAACAAATGACATAAGGCGTATAACCAGGGCGCACCAACTCATGGTGAGACCTGATCAACCTAAACACTCCGCATACACAAAAGACTGAACCACCTCAACTTATAAGGGACTCAGCCTATGCCTGAACAATGACAAAAGGCATATGACCAGACACAACAACTTATGTTGTGCCTGGTCAGCCCATACAGTGACATATAGCATATGACTAGGCTACCCAACTGATGGATAGTCTAGCCCTGCCTAAAACAACAACAAGCACGTGTGACCGAACAACCCGCAACTTATGCGTTCGTCCGGCCTCCGCAACACAACTACATCAGATAAATAAGTTTCACAACCGATTTCTTCTTTCAGACGAGTGGTCAGATCACCTCAACTCATGAGGATCCCCACTCAGACGCCAGTTATGTTTAGAAAGGGGAAAATATCCAAGCTTTATATAATTCTCTGCTTTTGTGGCATCAAGGACATAGGACTGACTACCCAACTTATGGATGAGTCAACCTGCCCAAAGTTACGACACCATTTTATACTCTTAATCTTTTTTTTCCTCTGCTTTGTCTGCTACCGGCTTATATGGCTGGATCTCCCAACTCATGGCGCCCAGCCTGCCACGAATATACATAATAGGTAATTGTATCACATTATATACTCTGATTCGCTTTAATGATGACGGTTCATGACTTGACCACACCAACTTATGGTGTGAATAGTCTTGCCTGAACAATAAAGCATAAGACTGATTCACACCAACTTATGGTGTGGTCAGCCTCAGCCTAAACAATCGACATAAGGC